ATAGTTTTTTTTCTATTATAAACATCACCATCTGACCACATCTTAGCCCCCAACTTCCCCCCAGCTTGCATCTCCCCCAGGCCACCTCATATATCCAGCTGCCGGACATCATTCGGACCCTAATCTTTCCAACATTGCTCCCTGCTACCCCCCCCCCCCAAGACAAAGAAACCTCATTCATGCCAATGTCATACCCTCCATACTCCTCTCCTATACATACTGGAGGGATTACAATGGACTGTATCAGGGCTGTACAGAGGGCTAGACATGTGCAGTTTGTTTCCTTCCAAATCAAAATTCACACAATTTTCCGTTATTCAGAGATTCGGATGGATCTGAACTCCAAATTACAATAGTAACGAATTTAAATGAATCTGAAATAATTAAACAAAATTTGTCCGATATTCAAATTGATTCGAATTCGAAAAACACATTCAAAAACTAGATTGAAAACCAATTCAAATTTAAAAACATGAATAGGATAAAATAGAACAGAAAATAAAGAAATAGAAAAGAATAGAACAGAATAGAAAATAAAAGAATAGAAAAGAAAAGAATAGAAGAAAAAAGAACAGAATAGAAATAAAAGAATAGAACAGAATACAGTAGAAAAAATAATAGAGTAAACAGAAACAAAATAGAATAGAAAATAAAGGAATAGAAGAGAATAGAATCCATTAGAATAGAATAGAAAAGATTAGAATAGAAAACCAAAGACTAGAATAGAATCAAATAGAATAGAAAAGAAAAGATTAGAATAGAAAATCAAAGAATAGAATAGAAAACAATAGAGTAAAACAGAGCAAAGTAGAACAGAAAATAAAGAAATAGAATAGAATCAGAGTAGAATAGAAAATCAAAGAATAGAATAGAAAAGAATAGAAAAGACTAGAATAGAGAATCATAGAATGAAGAATCATAGAATAGAATAGAAAAAACAATAGAATAAATTAGAAAGAATATAACTGCCTTCCGAAATTAGAATTTTGAACAGAATGAATTTGAATTTGAACAGAATACATTAGAATAGAATAGAAAATAATAGAAAAGAGTAGAATAGATTAGAACAGACTAAAATACTTAAGCACTGTGAAAATGTTGAAATAGACATTTCTAATATGGTTACACAACTCGTCATGTAGCCCATATACCTTCAAAATCACATATGGATTGTGGATTATAGATTGCAACATTAGAATTATTATCGAATCCATGAGAATTATTTTCCATTCCATTAGAATTGTTTTCAAATCCATTGGAATTATTTTCGAATCCGTTAGAATTGTTTTTTGAATCCATTAGAATTATTTTAAAATCTGTTAAAATTAATTTTAAATCCAATCGAAAATTTTGAATTTGGTCAAATTCAAATAAGCAAAACGAATTCCGAAAAACGAATTTAACTAATCGAACAAAACAAAATTAGTCAAATAATAAATTGAAACGAAATGAGACAAAACAAATGTTTTCTTTTTGCACATGTCTACTGAGGGCACAGAATAAATAGAAGGACTACAGAGGGAGGACATTGTGAGACAGGACTGGCATAGCAGGGGGATGGGAAAGGAGGAGGACAACATGTGATGGAGGAGGAGGAGAACATGTGATGAGGAGGCCAGGTAGGAGGAGAGCATGTGATGGGGGAGATGAGACTGGAAGAGGAGGATGTGGATGAGACTGGAAGAGGAGGATGTGGGATGGGGAAGATGAAAATGGAAGAGGAGGACATGGGGTGTGGGAGATGAGACTGGAGGAAGAAGGGGATATGGGATGGAGAAGATGGGACTGGAGAAGGAGTACATGGTATGGAGGAGATGGGATAAGGAAGGAATGTAATAACATGGTTTGGAGGTGATGGGACTAGAGGAGGAAGAGGACATGGGATGGAAGAGGAGGAGGAGGAGATGGGACTGGAGGAGGAGGACATGGGATGGAGGAGATTGGACTGGAGGAGGAGGAGGAAGACATGGGGTGGAGGAGATGGGACTGGAGGAGGAGGAGGAAGACATGGGATGGAGGACATGGGACATGAGGAGCAACAGGGCATGGGATGGAGGAGGACATGGGATGGTAAAAATGAGAGACTAGAAAAGGAGGACATGGGATGGGGGTCATGGCACTGGAGAAGGGACATGGGATGGAGAAGATGAGACTGGAGGAGGAGGAAGACATGGGATGGAGGATATATTAAGTTGTAGGAGTGTTAAAATAAAAGTGGGTACACTGAAGGACTTAGTGGGATGGCCAGTAGGCGGATTCGGTGGGTTGGCCAGTGGGAAAGCCCTGGGTAATATTTGTGGTCAGGCCAGGGGTGCCCAAGCATAAAGCTGTGTAGAGGGCCCCAAAATTTCTGGTGGCTGCCCTGGGCAGGGACACCAGGGATTTCACACAAAGGAAGCAATACAACGAGAACAGAATACTTTTTCATATAAGCACAAGGCACAGTAGGCCCATATCAAGAATATGAAATGTTTGGGTAACATATTCTTTAATACAGTTTTGAGAATATAAACAGACTAAGATTGTTTCTGTGCAAATGTTTTACCAATAGTGATTAGTAAATCTAAGTGAATCCACTTGAAAGTTTGGTAGAAACAACCTTAAAGAGGTATTAAACCCAAAACAAAATTTCTAATATATTGCAGCGTAGCAATCCTTAGATGTGGCGGATGCATTCGTTTTCTTTTCTTAGTCTTTTTTCCCCTGTTTTTTACCTGGTGATCTAGCCAGTAATACACATACTGTATTAGAGTACCCTCACTCTGGATAAAAGAGCTCAGGGGGCATCTTTGGACAGCAGAATTGTCAGTCTAGAGGGGAGGGGAGTGTTAGATGTACTAACACTGTCATTGGACACAGCTGATCATGTGGTAAAAGGCCGCTGCGATTGGCCTTTTACCTTTTCATTTTATCAGCTGTGTCCATAGGACATTGCGATCACAGACAGCATTGGGTGTGCGCCGCTTGGGTCATATGAGCGTTCTGGAAGGATGCCCATATGACGCCCTCTCAGAACTGGACAACCGCGCTGTAGCCATCATTTGACTATAGCGCAGTTATAAGGTGCTTAAGCAGTCAAAGCTATTTCTTTTTTAAACTGCTTCTCTCTGCTTTTCAGTTACATCTTGTAATAGATTTCATCCTGTTTATAAAAAGAAAACTTCATCTTTTTTAAAGAAAGAGATTATGTAGGTTTTTGGTGGAAAAGGAGGTAGAAATCTGAAAATTCCTTCCTTTATGAAACCACCATTATTAATGAAATCAGAAATGTAAAATAAACACATAAATGCATTATTATTGTCTCATATATTTCAATATTCCAACATGCTAATACTTCTTCTCACACCCTTACGGAATGCTGTACCACCATTTTTTCTCTGCCAGCCCTTTGATGATGTCAGTGCCAGTTCTTGTGTATGTGCTGTATGATATCTGGCAAGGTTTGCTATTGATTATACATTGAAATGGCTTTAGCAACTTAAGTGTCATTACACTACCTGGCACTTACATTTCCTAAGCAAGGTGTAGAGAAAATTTGTAAATTCTGTATAAAAGTGCATTTTATTTTGTATGCTTTGCCTATTTATTGTACTAATAATGTTTTCATTACGTTTGCATTTCTTCAAGTCCTGACTAGAAACTAGACTGCCTATGTAACGCCCCTTGTTACCATAAAAGTTGTAATATTAATGTGATACCTACGTGATCATGTGTATGAAAAACTTCAAATGTGCCAAATAAACAGAACAGTGATTTGGAAAGATGCTAAATATATCTTTATGTGTCTGTTCCCTACTGCAGTAGTAATTATTAATTTGGAAATACTAATCAATATGAGAATAGGAGTTGCCTAGTTATAAATGTTTTAGTATTAAAATCCAGAACAAAGGTATAAACAATAAGAAAAGAAATAGCCTTTTACAGAGTTAATGAGATTTTGTGTACACACAAGATCCTCCCTGGAAGGTACTCATAACCTAGCCAGGGAAGAGCTGGAAGAGTCTGACTATATTTCCAGGAAGTACAACAAAGTAAAATGAATGTTTCTAAAGAAATCTTTGAATTTACATATGCATGTACTGTAACTTGAGAGTGCAAAATCCGGTTCAGCTGTGCATGGTAGCCAATCGGCTTCTAACTTCAGCTGGTTCAATTATGCGTTGACAATAAATCCTGGAAGCTGATTGGTTTCTGTGCAGAGCTGCACTAGATTTTGCACTCCAGTTTTAGTAAATCAACCATGTTTAAAAAGTATCAGGGCCGTTATAATGTTAATGAGCCCCAGATTTTACAGATTTTAGGCAAGTAATGAAGACTCAATTTGGGATGAATGAGGGCAAATCCGGCCACCTGATGGTCTGTATAAAAGTTCTGACTAAGGATGAGCTCAAAGCTGTTTAGGCTTTTGTCAAAATAGCAGACCTTTAACCCATTTGGTGGGAGACAAACATTGTATATGGTATGGGATATTTCTACATTGAATAAATATGGCTGAGGCCATAACTATTTAATGATGTCACCCAGGAGACTACTTCCCTTTGTTTACTTTTAGTGGCAGGGCCCCTGGGAGATGTCATTCAGGAATAGTCAACAATGGGATCAGACGGGATTTTTCTCTGTGGGCATTGTTCCTTGATATTGATGTGGATCTGCATTGCTGGAAAAGGTGATCGCCTTTTTTGTTGTTGTTTTTCTTTTCTTTTAACCACTTGCCTACCAGGCACTTATACCCCCTTCCTTACCAGGCCAATTTTCAGCTTTCAGCGCTGCCGCACTTTGATTGACAATTGCGCGGTCATGCAACATTGTACCCATATGAAATTTTGATCATTTTTTTCTCACAAATAGAGCTTTCTTTTGGTGGTATTTAATTGCCACTGGGCGCTTTACTTTTTGCGCTATAAATTAAAAAAAGTGCAAAAAATTTGAAAAAAAAAAAAAAAGTTTTTTGTTTCTTTTATAAAATTTTTCAAACAGGTATTTTTTTTCTCCTTCACTGATTTGCGTTGATGAGGCGGCACTGATGGGCACTGATAGGCGGCACTGATGGCCACTGATTGGCAGCACTAAAGGGCACTGATAGGCAGTACTAATGAGGTGGCAAGGATAGGCGGCACTGATAGACAGCACTAATTAGGGGTCACGGATAGGCGGCACTGATATGCAGCACTGATAGGCGGCACTGATAGGTGACGCTGATGATGGGTACTGATAGACGGCACTGACTGGCATCACTTCTGGGCACTGACTGGCGGCACTGACTGGCACAACCCCTGGGCACTGACTGGTGGCACTGAATGGCAGCACTGCTGGGCTGCACTGGTGGGCGGCACTGGTGGGCAGCACTGGTGGGTGGGCACAGGTGGGTGGCACTGGTGGGCACAGGTGGTTGGCACTGGTGGGCACAGGTGGGTGGACACAGGTGGGTGGCACTGCTGGGCACATGTAGGTGGCACTTCTGGGCACAGGTAGGTGGCACTGCAGAGTGGCACAGGTGGGTGCACTGCTGGGCACAGATGGGGGCACTGCTGGGCACAGGTGGGTGCACTGCTGGGCACGGGTGGGCGGGGCTAGTGGGCGCACTGCTGGGCGGAACTTGCGGGTGTCTCTGCTGGGGGCAGGGCCGATCATCAGGGCACTCTGACAACTGCCGGTTCTCGGCAGTACTTTCCTCACGATCTGACAGCGTGAGGAAAGTGCAGCCGAGAACCAGCACTTGCATTTCCCTGTGATCAGCGTGTCATTGGACACCGCTGATCACGTGGTAAAAGGCCGGTGGGATCGGCCTTTCACCACATCACGTGATCAGCTGTGTCCGTAGGACACAGCGATCACGGAGATCGCCGGGTGCGCGCCCCCTGGGGCGCGCAGGAGAGCGCGTTCTGGGAGGACGTCATATGACGTCCACTCAGAACTGGCCGGCTGCGGTGAAGCCGTCATTCGGCTATGCGCGGTCGGCAAGAGGTTAAAAATGGTGTAAGTACTTTTATTTACTGTTTACTTTTTGTATGAATGAGTAGGGTTGCTATGTACCCCTTACTAATTCACACAGGGGACAATATCTGGGTGTCCTCTTATTGTTAAAGGGGGGCTTCCATATTTCAGTAAGACCTCTGTCTGCAGACCACAGGCCAGGGTTGTGGAGAAGATGCCTTTGTCCACATCACCATGGGGACAAGGTGCTTTGCCAGAGTGCTCTCTCCTTCCACGGTACCACCACCCCCCATATTGAGGATATTTGGCCTCATATGGTTCAGGAAGGATGGGGGTGGCAGCAGGCTGTATATTTTGGCTTTTTTTTTTGTTTCTTTGTTTTTCACATGGCGTCCCCCTTAACATTCATACCAGACCCTCATCAAGAATATGGGTCTGGTATATAATTTTAGGGGGAACCCCATTCTGTTTTTCTTTTTGTGTCGAAGTCCCTCCTTAATATCTATATGAGACCCTTAACAAAAGAATAAAAAGTACCGTGCAGCACCTCTGTGTGTCATAGTTATTATTTGATGAATGTAACAGTGAGATTGATTGTTTTGAGTATTTTTGTTGATTTACAGTAGTATTATTGTACTCATTATTTAATTTACTATTGGAACACTCAAAATAACTAAGTAGAGGTAGTAACAGGATCATAACTACAGGGGTCACAGGTGTCAAAACTGCTACCCAGCCCTATGCTCCGGGGGGGGGGGGGGGCGTTAGGCTCCCCTGTACAGCCAGATAGGAGGGTGGTGAGAGTGGCATATAGGGGAGCCAATGCCCTCCATTTTCCTGCTGCAGCCGCTGAATACCTGCTTCTCCTCCTCTCCAGCCTGCAGGTATCCAGTGGCTGCAAGAGGAAAGTGGATCATATTGGTTTCCTCTACATGCCGCCCTTGCTTCCCCTCCTATCCATCTTATTTCTGCTTCCCCCAGGCCCCTCTGCCCCCCCCTTGTGATCCATCCTGGCCTACTCTTCTTGCAGAGCTGCCAGGTTCTCCCCTCCCCTCTCCTGTCGACTGCTGTGAAGGATGTGTCAGGGTGGAAGTGGCAGGTAAATCGTAATCAATCACTGACTCTGTCCATTCATAACTGAAACATAGTAAACTGTGTTTACTTTACTTACTTTTCTGAATGAACAGGAAACTCTATACAGAGCTATTCCGGTCCATTCATTCTGTGCAGCTGAGGCTGCAGAAATGGAGATTGAGGGCTGTGGCTCAACCTCCTTTCTCTGTCTCAAACATGAAACATAAGGGGTCTGTTTAGACCCCTTATATCTCACCAAAGGCCTCAATGGGGCTCCCAAAAAAATTATTAAAAAACACAAATAATAATAATATTGTAAAAAATTTAAATAAAATGTTAAAAAAAAAAAAATAACAAAAAATAAAACTGCTGACACCAGTGGCAGAACTACCAGGGTCACAAAGGTCACACTTGCAACCAGACCCTGGTGTTCCGCCACTGGGCTCAGAGGAAAGGACCTCAGGCTTGGGGGAAGGACCCTGGCCAGGGGTCAGGGGCCCCTCCATGTTTTCTTGTGCCGGGGCCCTGAATCTTCTAGTTGCACCTCGGGGTAACTTTGAGAAACAGGTGTTGCACTTGCCAATTTTTCTGTATTAGGTTGTATACACCTTGTAGATGTGCCACCTTACAGACATAGTTAAAAATTTTATTTAAAGGAATTTTGTATTCTTAATGTTGACCCAAAAGCTGCTCCCCACCAAAAAGAATTTTAAAACTTTATTTTTCTTTGCCACCTCCCCCCCCCCCAAGTCATTTATTTGACAATCCCTTGCCTATTAGCCTCGAAATGAGCCATTACTGTTTTTTTTACATTGAGCTCCTGTTAACTTCAGTTGGGTTCATATCTAGCACTCAAACTTTTGTCATGTGCTGCAAAACGCCTTGAACCAAAACCAAGTACATTTGGCTCATCTCTAGTTCTGACATGAGGCATTAGATCATATAAAAGTAAGGTTTGCCTCTTTTATGTAAGGAGTAATAAGATGGTGAAAAGTGCAATAAATGTTGATGTGCATTCAAGCATTCAGCTTTCAGAGTTCATCGGTGTTGAAGAATCAGAACCTTGATTGCTAAATTGTAGTTGCATGCTATTTCAATTTGTACTCTTTGCAGTATTAGATAAAGGTACACACTCTGAGTATTTCTCTACTTCTGTATTTATTCATCTGAAATATTCAAAATTTACATAAAGATAAAGCAATATAAATGAAAACTGGGGAAATTTGACATGCCATAGAGATGTAAGAATGTGTTATACTGGTTAATTGGGAGCAGTATTAATGCACAACAAAACAATTTAAGATCTAATTGCATGATATGGTGTCGCAGCTCAATCTGAATAATTGTGTAAATTCAGCATGAAGCTTGAACAGTGTCAACAGACAATTAACATGTATTCAATCATGCAATTAAATCAAAATTAATTGGTAAATTCCAGCACAGAATAAAATGATGAACCACCATTGTTTTCTATGCAGACTCCAAAAACTTGCAATTTGCCAGCCATGTATCAACACAAATTGCCAGATTTGATGCAGAATGTACTATACCACATTAGATGGAGCTGACACAGGGGCGGACTGACAACTCATGGGTCCCCCGGGCAATAGGGGATCATGGGGCCCCTGTGTCCTTGCCCCAAACTCAAAAAAGCCTATGAAAAAGGTACCAGGGGCATCTCATGGGGACCCCTACTGACCCCGGCCCTCGGGCAGTGTCCGAGTTTCCAAATGGTCAGTCCGCCCCTGACCTGACAATCATATGAATTGTTCTATTACAGAAAATACAGGGAAATTCATCCAGCCTTCATGAATGTGTGTGACATTTGTGCAACGAATGTTTTATAAATAAACATTCTGCTTTCTGCCAGGTTACATGGACAAAGCAGATGCTTTCAGTTGAAAAAGATACTTTTGCTTATAATAACCATAATTGAATTTAACTGTTTGTGGGCCTGGTATTTTTAAATAATTGTGAGTTTGCGCAAATATACTATATATTTATTTTAGTAAACAAATGATAAAATAATACATGAAAAAGAGGAGCTTTAGCTTAATATACCAGTGACGTCGCTATGGGGGTGCAGGGGGTGCGGACCGCACCAAGTGACACCCACCAGAGGGATGACACCAGGGTTGCCACCTGTCAGTCTAGATTTTGAATCCAGTGCATACAAATCAGTAGCAGCTCCGCAGCACTAATCCTCCTCTCCCCTCCTGTTGGCTTCCAGTGCTTAGCAGCATCCCTGCCTCCACTCGGGATCCTCCAGCCTCCCCCATGCAGAGCCCAGGATCAGATAGTACAGTGAGGAGAGAGAGAGTGGTGTCAGCAGTGTAGAGAACAGCAAGCAGTGGAATAGCAGTGACAGGTCCACCCAGAGCTCCATCACAGCCACCCAAACTGTGCAGATTTCTTCTTTTTCCCCTACTACTGGAAGTCACCCCCACTTCCTCCACACTGTGACCGTGGCTGCGATGTGTGTACGGCTTCCTGGATGTGTTAACCATTCACCTTCTTCAGAGGGAGGAAGGGGCAGCTGCCTGTAGTCTTCCTGGCCAGTGGTCTCTTTCTACTAGAGGGGGGATGGGCAGGGTCCTCTCTCATCACCCCCTTCAGTCTTCCTAGCTGGAGGTCTTCTATAACTTGTGGGAGGGGGAGGAAGGCAAATTCCTGTATATCTGGATTGGGGACCCCCTTATCACCCCCCTGCAATCCTCCTAGCAGGGGAGAGGGTCTTCTTTTAACTAGAGGTGGGTTCCTATGTTTCTGGACAGGGGTCCTCTCTTATCACCCCCCTGCAGTCCTCCTAGGGTCTTCTATAAATTGGGTGGTGGGAGGGAGGAAAATTCCTGCATATGTGGATGGGTGCCCCCCCCCCTTATCACCCCCTGAAATCCTCCTAGCTGGGGATCTTCTAAAACTGGAGAAGGAAGAGAGGGGAATCCCTATACTCTGGAATGGGGGTCCCTTCTTATCACCCCCCTGCAATCTGCCCAGATGGGGGTCTTCTTTAACTCGAAGGAGGTTCCTATGTTTCTAAATGGGGGTCCCTTCTTATCAACCCTCTGTGGTCCTCCTAGCTAGGGGTCTTCTTTAACTGGAGGTTGTTTCCTATGTTCCTGGATGGAGTCTCTTCTTATCACTCCCGTGCAGTCCTCCTACCTGGGGGTCTTCTTTAATTGGATTGCGGAGGGAGGAGAGTTTCTGTATTCCTGGATGGTGGGTCTCCTCTTATCACCCCCTGCCCAGCAGTCCTCCTAACTTCATTTACAAGGTCTGTTTTGGGTGAGCACCGTGACTGTGTGCTGCTGGCCTGAAACTAGACAGGAGAGAGCCAGATTCACTATCCTCCCCAGTGTCTATTTTATGTGGGAAAAAAATTATTGGAGGGGGGATGACATCCTGTTTCACCACACCAGGAGACACCAATTCTAGTGACGCCACTGCAATATACAGTTTAACGCACAGTTTTGCATATACTCTTTGAATCCACTTATTACACAGTATAATTACCCCACAAAGTCATAATCAGTATAAAAAAGTCAGTATATAAAAAAAAACAACAGCAGAACACTACATAAAATACAATACAAAAAAAACCCAACAAAGTGCACTTACTACCCACCTCCTTTATCCACACCATATGTGACCTGATATGTTTTTGAGATGATATAAAAAATAAAAAAATATTTTTAATAACTGTGCACAGTCTCCAATTCATGGTCCTCCTATCTTACTTCAGTGAGAAACTCCTTGAACAGAAAACAAAAAAATTTGTCAATCTTGAGAAGTCTTTTTTTTTAATTATAAATCAGTCTTAGATTGCAACAACGATATATCTTCTTTGTTTCATTCAATGCCTCTTTGAAAGAAATACTTCAAACTGTGTTGTGTTCCACAACTGTGCTCAGTGATCAAATTCATCAGAAGTGAATGACCTTACTGTAAATTCAGATCAAATTGCACTTTTTGTTGATATATATTTTCATCCACTTTTTGTTGTTCCATCCACTTTACTGATGTCTAAAGCAATGTACAAATAAATAGAACTCCACATAGTGTAATACTGTTGTAAAAGCATTCAGTTGTATTCAAACAGAAAATGTTAATGCACTCACATCTGCTGGTGCTATGACCTACATAAGTCTGTAAAAGCATATTGGACAGTATATGACAGGATTTACTTTCTAATAAAGACAAATATGCTGTTCACTTTGCAGGGGAATTTTGCACTTTGCAAGGGCATTTTCCCCTAGTTTTATGAATGTAAGAAAGCTGTGCTGACTTCCATCATCCAATCATGTGCAAGCAAATATACTATATTTTTTTAATTTTCATTGCACATTATTGGATATTCTTTGGCAAGTACATTTTCACCACATATATTTAGCTAGGTGAACATTCCCATACAAAATGCACATTCCCTTATTCCTTTGTAAAGTAAACAACATGTTTAAATTTGGAAATCATTCCCAGAGTCTCCTGTTGCTGAGATATATGACCTCCTACAAGCACCTTTCACCCACCCTCCCCAATGTAAAAACATATGCATCCCGGCACTATGCTCAGTACACTCTCTCTCCCTCAAGTGCATGCTCAGGCCCTCTTGCATTCATCACAAGGACTTTTTCAAGGGGTCATCAGAGGCTAGAGATCTTTTGCAACAAAAAGAACTACAAAGAACTGTGGCAGTGTAAGCCATAAAGAGGGATGCAAAAGGTTTACACAACATGCTGATCTAATTTTCAGAGGTCTATGTTAAGCAGATAAAGAGGAGGAAACTTATGATTTCTTTTAATGTTATGGGCTGCTTGGGAAGACTTGTCTGCAGAGGAGAGCAACATGCAGTGATAAGGTAAACCTGAAAACCAATTCAGTTTTTGCAAGATACCCATTTTATAATTGGATTATTATTATATGTGATCTAACTGAAGAACTTGCAAAGTACTTAAACTTAATCCCTAGTTAGAGACTATACTGTCAGGAGCGTGCAGTGCTCCTGCTCCATCATAGCTACTGGTTAAAGCATTTTGGTTTGGCTATGATGCATTCTACCTCTCTGTCTGTTCACCTACAAGGTGATTGATGTAGCTGGTCTCTGGGTGGAGACCAAACCTGATTTAAGCCAGTTAAGCCTGCAGTCTCATGATTTAAGCCAGTCTATGCTGGTTACACGTGCTCCAAGCTCTCTGTTTGTCTGTCCTCTTTTACTGTCTGGATTCCCTCATTGATGACCTCAGATCGGATATCGACTATTCTCTGAACTTGGCCTACCTTTTGACTACAGATTTCACTCTGACCACTCTGAACCTTGCCTGCCTTGTACCTGGACTGTTATTGAACTACTCTGCCTCCCTGCCAACCGTAAGTACATGTTTGTTGTGCTCAGTACACGCCTGCCCTGGCATGGTGGCTAGGCATTATAGCATTGTGTAAAAGACCAGGGCAACCAAGTACCAGTAGGCCTGCTTACCTTATGGTAAAGGGGTCTGCTATAGGTGAAGAACACAGAATCCAGCTATAGTGCCTGACCACCTGTGTTAGGGTTAAGCATGACATATACTTTCACTGATATTGATAAAATGGTTTGTGAACCAATTCAATTTGGGAAAACTTGTTTTAAATGGGGTGGGGGAATAATAAATCAAGTTCTTGATGTTGTCAAGCAATTTATATTTTAAGGATTCATAAAGTTGCATGGCACAATTCATGCTCGTGGCTTAATCAAATTAAGTACACAAAGTAGACAAGACACCCATTGTTTCCAACAGGTGTGACCAGGTTCTGAAAAAACAAAAATAATCAAGAACATATTAAAGATGAAAGAGATTGCACACATGACATAACTGTCCTGGAAAGGTCTCATTACTAGTGTTGGGCTTGAACTGTTCATATGCTTGCTGAACACACGAACAGTAAGGGTTTTCGGTTGGCTGTTCACCAGTTGAGTTCCCCACAATTCCTGCACTCTCATAGTGCTTTGTAAGAGCCATGATTGGCCAAAGCAATGCATCTGACCACAGGTCAGGTGCATTGCTTTGGCCAATCACAGCACACACTATCTACAGTGGGGAAAATAATTATTTGCTCCCCTGCAGATTTTGTAAGTTTTCCCACTTACAAAGAAATGAAGGGTCTATAGTTTTTATCATATATGTATTTTTGAAATGATAGAGACAGAATATCAACCAAAAATCCAGAAAAAAACACATGATACAAATGTTATAAATTGAGTTGCAGTTCGGTGAGTAAAATAAGTATTTGATCCCCACGCAAAACATGACTTAGTACTTGGTGGAGAAACCCTTGTTGGCAAGCACAGAGGTAGGACATTTCTTGTAGTTGGTTACCAGGTTTGCACATATCTCAGGAGAGATTTTGGTCCACTCTTCTTTACAGAACTTCTCTAAATCTTTAAGGTTTCTTGGTTGTCCTTTGGGAACTCAAAGTTTCAGCTCCCTCCATAAATTTTCAATAGGATTAAAGTCTGGAGAATGGCTAGGCCACTCCATGACCTTAATGTGCTTCTTCTTGAACCACTCCTTTGTTGTCTTGGCAGCATGTTTGGGGTCATTGTCATGCTGGAAGACCCATCCATGACCCATCTTCTGTAAGAAGGTTCTTATCCAAGATTTTACAATACGTAGCCCCGTCCATTGGCCTCTCAATGCAGCAAAGTCAGCCTGTACCTTTAGCAGGGAAACAGCCCCAAAGCATAACGTCTCCACCTCTGTGCTTGACTGTAGGG